TGTAATGTCCATGAGTTATCAATCCAATGACATGTAATGCCCATATAATGATGTTCTTGCCAATGATCACTGCAAACATCCGAACATATAGAAACTTAATTTTGTAAAATTATTAAACATATTATTAATTCTAATTTTCATTCACCAACCATTATATCAATATCACGGGTGAGTGTTGAGCATGAAATTCTTCTAGCCGAAGGATTGTAAGCATTAGTAACCCATTTTTCAAAGCGTAAATCATTTGCAAATCTAAAAGGAAGATGTTTAGAACAAACTAACTTAGTTAATTCTCTTCTAGCAGTAATATCACTATATTTAAATAAAGTAGGGGTACTTACCTCATCTCCAATTTTGGAAATAGATGACGGCATTTGTCCTTGAATTTGTGTTTGTGATGTAGTTATTCCAATTTTAAAAGAGTATTTCTTCTCGATATAGAGTGTAAATGTTCCATATCCTCCTCCTTTCTTGTAATTATAAACTTTAGAACAATAATTACAAATAACTTGAAAGCAATTACTTACCTCAGTCGCTTTCTTAGTAAAATGAACGGAGAAAATATCGAATCTTAAAGCTTGAATTTGAGGAGCTTTTCGTTTTCCACGTACATCTTCTACATTGTCAGGAGCCTCAGCCTCGCCCTCACCCTCGGGGCATTGAGTTTCATTTATCGAATCAAGCTCATCCAAATCTTCTATATTCCATTGCTCATAAAAAAAATTATGAAACTGGGGAGGATGAGGAGAATGTGAATCAGCAGTAGCCTTATCCTCTAGACATAGACGATGACATTTTTTTATTTTAAAAATTAATTTTTAATGGATATTAAATATATAAATAATGTAATGAAATAAATAATACAAATAAAAAAAAAAATCAACTAATAGCTATTAGCTACTTTAAAAGTATACTTTTATCTAAAATAAAATACTATATAATAGAGTAGATAAGTAGAATATTAAAATATTAGTATAAACTTAATTACTTAACACTTAAAGTTGAGAGATTAAATAATTGTAAGTGAGTGAGAGAGTGAGATTTAGAGAGAGATAAATATAGAAGTTGGGGTGAAGAAAATTTATCCAATTCATCCACCTATTTATACACCCGGTCATTAAATCTCATCCGTTCATTTACTATAACGTACATTAAATCTCTACAGTTCATTTCAAAATTTCAATTTTTTTTAAAAAAAAAACCGTCCAAACCGGCGGTTTTGGTTCAAACCGCCGGTTTGTTCCATCAAATCTCGACCGTCGGATCTGCAAGAATTAATCTTGACCATTCGTTTTTTAAAAAAAATCCTGCCCAAACCACTGGTTTCGGTTCCAAACTAGCGGTTTCGGTTTGAATTTTAACCCGCCCAAACCGACAGTTCGAACCGAAACCGGTTTGGGCGGATATAATTTATAAAAAATAATAATAAAAAAAAAGATAAAAAATATTGTCCAAACCGCCGGTTCAAACCGTAAACCTCCGGGTAACGGTTTGGCTCAAACACAAACCGAAACCGAACCATCGGATTCACGGTTTCGGTTCAAACCGAAAAACCGGTGGTTCCAAACCGTTTGGGCAAGTCTGCTCCCTTATAGTGTTGGAGCTCTCGGAAGGCAGCAAAAAATTGAAGAACAAATGTATACTCTAGTGTAAGTATATCTATTTACAAAAGAAATCTGGCCCTATTTATAGCTAGAGAAGACAGCAGTTGCGAGAAGTTTAGAAGAACCGTTGAGTAGTTAAGCAGGTACTGGTGGTTATGCAGTTAGAGCGGTTGCAGTTGGCCATAACTCTCAGGGCGGTCATTTCGCTTGCTTGAAGATGTAAGGACGTAGATCTTTCTTGCTTGCCCAGGTGGCTGGAGGGCATTAGCGCAGCTCAAGTGATACTGTCATCGCTGGCTGGCATTAGAATGGCTTGACTGCTGAGAGATGAACACTTAGTGAATTTCTGAAGTGATTCACTCTCGCTTCGCTGCGGTGGATGTCTGGTCGTTGCCGCTGGCTCGAGCGGAAAGAACGTCGCTTAAAAAGATAGGTTCTGGATCATACCAAGCGAAATAAATCAATAACGTATGACATAAATAAGGTATTGTGATGATTTTCACGCAGAAATTCAATGGGGTTAAGGCGAGGCAAGTTCTAGGGCAGGGTTGAGACGGGGCGGATTCTGGAGTCTGCAAAACTCATCTAAGTCTAACCTCTTGTCATTCTTCGTTGTAGTTGATTGATCCTTTTACGTATTACTATTTATATTCGGATTGTAGAATTTATATAATTGGTTGGTGTGTTACATAACTATTTTGGCATGTCTTAAACATCGTCGGAACGGCCTTATCTTGTAAATTTGATTAAGAATTTCGTATTTATTATGAAAAAAAATATGTATTTTAAGTTATTTGTCACAAAACTTATGCGGTAACAAATACCCTTAAAATTGTGTTTATTTTTAGATCGTAACAAAAACTTATTTGGTGCATAGGAAGCACGTGTACTGCAATTTTTTGTTACGTATTAATATCATGACAAACAAGATTTCTAACATTTTATCATGTAGTAGAAATTGTACAAAAAATATTTTTCACGTGCCTTTAAAACTAGTTAATCAATTCTACTCAATTTTTTACTTTGTAGCAGTAAAATTCATAACAAAATCGACACAAATGACTATTTTGCATGAAAATTGAGCATTCGTTACGAAATAATAACCGCTATAAATAGTTTTTTTTTTGGTAATATTTTTTTTTTTTTCCGGAAGTACATTATTATTCTCTATCTACAATTACACTCCATCGTTCCAGTATAATTGACACCTTTTGTAGTAGGCACGATATTTAAGCTAGTTATGTTTAATTACTTTATAATAATGAGTTATCATATTATTTTATAATTTTTTTTATGCGATTAATAATATTTATAGTTTAAAATAAATTTAATATATAATTAAAAAATTTAGAATATGTATTTAAATATTATAAAAATTCTATCACAATAAAAAAAAACATATGTAATATGAATATTATCTTGTACAGAATAAAATTTCATATAATAAAGTAAATAAAAAAATAAGTTTATTAATTTATAATTAACATAAACTAATTTTATATGTGTGGTTTTAAATATAGATAAAAATATTTAATTTTTTTAGGAGAGATATATAAATAAAAGGGTTTTGAGTGGATGCTATATGATGTTGGTAAATTTTACCAAAAATAAAAAAATATCAATTAAATGAAACATATAAAAATGAAAAAAAAAATCGATTAAGATGAGAGAAAGAGAGTATTTTTTATTTTTACAGGAAAAAACTATTCTCGTTATATTTTATGTCATAATAATTTTAGAAATTTATAAATAAAATTCTATATTTTATTATTTTTGTATACTTACTTAATGCTAATAGCCTATATTGCAGGTATTTCTTTATGTTATATTTTATAGGGTAAGCTGATCTTTTAGTTGGGTAAACTGATCTTTCAGTGCCGTATCTGATCCTTTTATCATTTTAGTTACGTAAATGAAACCTGTCGCAAACAAGTTTCGTAAGTAAAAATTTTTCGCAATTTTAGTCTTCTGGCAGAAATGCTTATGTAGCACCCATGTGGCTCGCCGGAGGACACGTATCTGCCAGGTCAACAACACTTGAAGGACACGTGTCCTCCGGCGAGCCACATGTGAATTTTATTTTATTTTTAATTTTTAATTTTTTTTAAATTTTAAATTTTCAAATTGTTTTTTTAAAATTTTAATTATTTAAAAAAAGACAAAATAAATAAATTAAAATTAAAAAAATCCACATGTCCGCCGGGTGTCGCTGACCGGGCGGACACGTGTCTTCCGGCAAGTCGCGCAGGTGCCACGTAGGCATCTCCGGCATCGGAGGACTAAAATTGCAAAAAAAAACTTACCTACGAAACTCGTTTGCGACAGACTCCAATTAATAAATTAAAATAATAAAGGAGTTTAGTTACTAGACAAAAAAAAATCCATTTATACTGTTCAGGACCAGTAAGGGTGTGTTGGTTTAGGCGATTTTCGTCTAATTTGATTGTATAAATACTGTACACTCAATTCCCCTCAAAAATCATATTACTCCCTACCCTAGACTCTACTTTCCTTTTATAGCAGTCCACTGCCTTTTCAGAAATTGTTAGCGTAGCCCCGTCTCATCATCTGCAATTTAAAATATATATATATAATAAAATAAAATAAAATTCGGCGTGTGTTGTGTTTGTTTGGGGTTGAAATATTTAAAAAATGAATTGAAAAATAGTAGTATATATATAATGCAATATAAATAGAAGTTGATACGATGCTTTGAATATAAAATTAATTTTTAGCATAACGTAGAAAAAATATATTTAATTTGATAATTTTTAGAAAGAAAATTGAATAAATAATACAAATTTGCGAAAATTCACATCTATCCTAAAAAAATAAAAGAAACAAAAAATTTTTTTCCAAAAATTAAATTTAAATTTAATTAATAAATATCAAATCAAATATCTTTTTTTATTATTATTTATCATTTTTTCAATAAAATAATAATTTTTTCAACATAATCATTACAAAATTCAATATGCCAAATAAACACTTAAAAATCCAAACTTCAAAATCTTCCAAAATCTAAATCTAAATCTAAAATACAATCCCCAAACAAACACAGCCAAGTATCTGATGTCTAAAGTCCCACAGAAAATGCCCTCAACTGTAAGCAACCGCTGTATATATCCTTACATTTGCATATCAATTTAGGTTGCCCCACAGACATTGCTCCCTATCTCTCGTGACATTATTAGATATAACTCCTTTGGTCCATTCCAAACTGACTATATAATTTGCTAAAAAAACAATTCATTTTCATATGCATATATAACTCAATAATTGAATCGTAAAATACACATTTCTTTTTATTTTTTTAAAAAAGATCATATAACCTTATCAAGAAATTCATTATTGATTGATGTAGCAAAATTGGTGGAGAGCCTTGATTGGAAAATATATAGTCGAACTTAAATAAATAAATAAAACTGTCTACCCACCGACACTATACATAAATTCTCTATTTCTCAATGTCTCAAGAAATTATGCCATCCATGGCGGATTCACCTGATGACCCCACCACCGCCGTCGCCACAGAATTACAGCCGCCACTTCAATCCCACCACGATGCTGCTCCCGACGTGGAAAACCCGCCTCCGGTGGAGGCGGAGCGCATCCAGCAGAGCGACACCGACGACAAGTTCTCTCGAATTTACAAAGTGACGCCTTACATGCGCAGCCACAGCCTGAATAACGGACAGGTGTACGACCCGGCGGTGCTCTCGCTGGGCCCCTACCACCACAGCAAACCCCATCTCCGGCCGATGGAGAAACACAAAGAGAAGACGCTTCAATACTTCTTCAAGGTCAGCATGAGATGGGACGAAAATAAAGACCGGAAGTTCTTCCACGACGAGATCAAATCAAACATAGAAAGGATCAAAAACAGTTACGAGGAGGTTCCCTTCGGCAACGACGAATTGGCGGAGATCATCCTCCGCGACGCCTGTTTCCTCATCGACTTCATCCACAGCTTCACAATCGGCGGCGCCGTCTATTTGTTCGCCTCTGATTACGGCATGGCTGCCGGTGTTCTAATGCAGCGCGATCTGTTCATGCTCGAGAATCAGATTCCCTTTTGGCTCGTCATACTGCTGCTCGAATCCAGACATGGCAAGGATAAAGCCGACAAGATCTTGTCCGAGTATTTAAGTTTGATATGCCATCAGATAGACGGAAAAACTAATATCAGAAGCCTTCCATGGAAGGATGACGACGGCAATGGCCGATGCCGCTTGCCAGTGCATCTTCTCGAAGCCACGCGACAAATTTTACTGAAACGAGAAGAAAAGGTAGATACAAAATCCTGTTTTCTTACAAAAATCTTAGGCAGCTGTTGTAAGAGAATAATTAATTGGAGTTGGACGACCAAGTCGGCCGCCCCAGCCCCGGCCCCCGCTCCCGATGCCGACTCCGAAAGCAGCAGGAGCAGTAGTTCAATGGAAAATGAACAATTTTTGGAACTCTTAAACTTTCCATGTCGATCGGTGACGTATCTTCAGACAAAGGGGATATATTTCCGGCCGAGTTCCCAGGGCCTGCTCGACATCAGATTCGTGTCGTACCATGTTTACGGGGTGCTGCACCTCCCAATTCTGGTGGTCAATCGCGACACCAAGGTTTTCTTCTCGAACATGGCGGCGTTCGAGATGTCTCCGCATAATCTGACAGATGGGGAGTTTCTGTCTTACCTTAATTTCATGAAGCCGTTGATGGAAACTGCCAAGGACGTGAAGGAGCTGCGGGAAAGAGGGATATTGTTCAGCAGTTTGGGGAGCGACGAGGAAGTGGTGAATGTGTTCAAAGAGATCGACACCTACGGGGCCGACAACTACAAGGATTTCTTAGAGGTGAAGTCGGCCATTAGCAAGCACTGTCGGAGCAAGGGGAAGACGTGGATGGCTGATCTTGCCCACACTTACTGCCGCAGTCCTTGGGCTGCCATTGCCGTCTTTGCCGGAGTTTTTGTGCTCTGTCTCACTTTCCTTCAGACTTTTTACACAATCCATCCTGTCGAATGATCCATCGATTAGCTATTTTTAGCCTGCCTGCCTGCCTGCCTAGTTCAAGTGAGTGAGTGCATTTGTCGTTTCAAGTAATCTGGAACGTTAATATGTCTCTTTTTTTTTTTTGTACGGGGAGTTGTAAAATAGAATTTGTATTTTATTTTATGTGCGCTTCTTAGCTATCTGTGGCCTGTCTGCCTAGTTTAAGGTAAGTGTGTGCATTTGTCGACGTAAATATTGAAATAATTAAAATAAGAATAGCCAATGGCAAAAGTTTGATTTTATTTAATTCAGAAGGATTGATTTGTGAATTAAGTCATTTCTAATAATAGCCAAGATAGTATGCACCATGGTGTAATTTTTGAACAGTAAATTGTGGCCCCGAAACTTGTAATTAATTACCTACCGACAAAATGATGATGGGGTTTTGTGATAACGACTCAACGGCTATATATCGCCGATGAATTTGGCAGAAGACGAGATGATTGTCTTATGTCTTCTGTTTGTTGGTTGGTTATTTTTTATATCGGAAGAGATTATTGTTTTATTTTTATTTTATGGAAATGTTAGTTAAAGCTGTCATATGAAAAAAAGAAAAGTATTCTAATATCTTTTGAAACAATAATTAGTTTTGAAATACAAAAAAATCAAATATGTGTATTATACGTGATCGATTAGTTTGAAGTGTTGATAAGTTTTAATCAGTTATAATTACTTTTAATCAAATGGTGGAGATGGATGACTAGGGGAAAATAGTAAGATGAGCTAGAATTTTATAATCCCCTTACTCACTCTTATAGTTTCTATTAGAAACTCACAACGGAAGATAGAAAATAACAAATAGTAAAACACGATAAGTTAATGTAGTTCGGTCTAACAACAGATTTATATTTACGATCCCAAAATGGGATAATCCACTAAAATATTTATTATAATTTTTACACGGACAAAATTATAAAACCCTCTTCACACAAACTCATCAAATCTCAATTTCACCATCTCTAGTTACTAAAGAAAAAATGTTTTTTTGTCATGTCTTAAAATAGGACCCAAGGTGGACAATTAATAGGAGCAATGCCCCCACATTTTTATCACACTTCTTATGTGGGACATGAGAAGTTACACAATAAATCCTCCCTCTTCCCACAGTCTCACATATTTCGACCATGTCAGAAAAACGAATTATCTTCTCGATTTTCTGATTCTTCATATTATTGCTGCTATCCACATTTACTCGGAAGGCCCATCCATCTAGATAATAGATGTTGTTTTGTTTCTTCCTCTCCTGCATAATCAAGTTGTCACCCTGGTACACTTTGCATAGATTTTTAGTGCCAACATATCTATGCCCATGCGAAGCCAACTCGCTCAATGAAATAACATTAGCTCAAACGGTAGGCACATACCTCACATTAACATTACCATTGTGGAGCTTCAAGCAAACTCTTCCAATACCTTTAATTTGCTGCTTCATCTTATTCCCCATATTGATATAGCCAAAATCTCATTTGTATGCAAAGTATCAAATAAATCTTGATCTTTACATATATGGACATCGGCAGCAGAATCCATCACCCAATTAGAATTCTCAACACAATTTTTATTTAAAAGAAGTAAATCACCTTCATAACTGACCACGTTCGCGGAGTTCTCAACTTTCGACTTACCCTTCAAACTTCTCGGACTTCTCAAGTCTTCTTTAAAACGTCGACATTGATTTTGAAGGTGACCAAACTCTCCACAATAATGACACTCAATAGAGCTGGTAATCTCTCGGCCGAGATTTTGATCTTCCACCATGGTCACTCTTCATTTTCCTCCATCTTTTAGAACCCAACCCCCCCCCCCCCGGGCTAGTATTTGACTTTTCTTTAAAGCGTCTTCATTTCTCATTATCTTGTCATTCTCCTTCAAAACCGTTATCATCTCATTCAATTTCAATGTAGTTTTCTCAAATAACATTTATTGCACCAATGACTTGTAGGATTGGGCAATGAAGTTAACAAGAGCAACACTTGCTCTTCCTCTTTAATTTCCTCTCCTGCATTCAACAGTCAACATACTAGCTCATTAAACTTGTTAGTATGGTCAATTATATTACCTCCTTCCTCCATCTTCAAATAAATCCATATTTATAATCAGGCGGTTAGTCAACGTCTTCTTGGCAAATTTACTCTCCAAAGTATCCCACAACCTCTTCGGAGATCTTTCCGTCAACACGGTAACCTTTATCTGCGGGATGAGGGCCAATCGAATCATGCTAGCAACCTTTTTCCGGATCATACTCCAATCACCTTCTTTCATACCTTCTAGCTTTATATTTTCCAAAGCAACATCAAGACCTTGCTGCACCAAATAGTCTTGAATTATGCTTTGTCACATAGTAAAATCACTATTTTCATCAAAGAGCGGAACCTCATATTTCAAAGTAGTGGACATAGTGCTTAATAACTTACCAATAAACAAGCACTTCCAACAACCAAATAAACTGAGGCTCAAAAATGAAACCAAGAACTCTAATCAGGCAGAACCAACCTTTCTGGCAGAAATCTGGTGTGTTGCCGGAACCCGTTGCGGAACTGTAACTTGGACTGTTGGCGTGCCGTCAACTTCTCTCGAAACACCTCTTGCTCTTTCTCTCCTCCCTTCACCAAGACCTCGCCAAAAATGACCTTGCTCTGATACCACTTGTTGGGAACACACAAGGGAAGATAGAGAAAAACAAATAGTAAGACACGGGAATTTAACGTAATTTGGTCTCACAACAGAACCCTCACAACAACTCACCAAATCTCAATTTCACTCTCTAGTTACTAAAGAAAAAAAAAAACTTATTGTCATGTCTTAAACTAGGACCCAAGAGGATCAATTTATAGAAGTCAATGCCCCACCTTTTTTATCATACTTCCTATGTGGGACATGGAAAGTTACACAACAGTTTCATTGCTTGATTTTTTCTCTTTGTGTCTCTATAGCTATATGGATGTATATGTATGGTATACAACATTGATGGATTCGGGACTGGTCGATGTTGATCTTCGCTTTCTCTCTATTATTTTTTTCTACTGTATTTTAGAAAGTGTATTATTTTTTATTTTGCGTATTGTTTTAATTAAATATTAATAAGCCTGTCTAAATCAATATACAATTAATTTTAAAAGGACTATAATTAACTATAGAAAAAATTGAATATATTTTCAAGGGCGTATTTTCATCATAGACTCTTCTTGTTCTCTTTAGTATCTGAGTATGTACTATCGTTACAAGAGAATTGATTGTGTTGATTTATTATAAGAACATTGTGATTAAATAATTAAAGTATGAAATATATTTACACAAATCATCATATTATTATTTTCATAGACTCTTCTTGTACGCTCTTTAGTATCAGATTTTGTGTTCTAGGCAAAAGAGAAGTATAAAATATATATACAAAAAGAATCACATTATTATTTGCATAAACTCTTATTGTGCTCTTTCTAATCAGAATTTTTTCTCTCGACACAAGAGAATTAATTATGTAAGTTTATTATAAGAGAATCGTAATTGACTATATAGAGTATAGAATATACTTATAGAAATCCCCACATTATTATTTACACAAGTTTTTCTTGTGTTTTCTTGTTGCATAATTTTTGCTATCATTCTTTTTATTTTTTTTTCAAACACAGCGTTTATAATAAAATTACAACCTTAGCTTTTTCTTTATTATTATTGATCATATCATATGATAATGATGAGATCGGACAGTGATTGTTTAATCAGCACCGTGAGCGTCACCACTGTAATTGAAACGGTATTATAGGATTGTATAAGGATAATTTTATAATACATGCCGAGACTCTGTTATTTTTAAATTTAGTTTCATTTTTTTGTTTAAGTTTTAATTTAAATATAATATTTTTTAAAAAAATAATATATTTAACAAAAAATGATTTTGTTACAGTTGAAATTGTAACATTTATAGTAATGATTGGTCAAAATGGCCGAATCATAAGTTTTTAGCATCTGGGATAACCAGGCAACTAAAGGGTAATAATTCGGCTGCAAATAATCATAGTTGTAATTATTGATTACAGAATCAATAGAATCACCCCAATATACCTATAAATAGTTATAATCATCATCGTAATCAGCGGCCAGTTGAATTCGCCAAAGTTTGACCACAAATGACCATAATTCGATCTTGGCATCAAATGATCATATGAATAATGTTGTTAATTAGTTGCAGGAGAAACAAATTTTTTGTATAGCTTAAAATAGTGATATATGGATGTTGCCTTTAGGAAGCCTTACAATACAAATTATATGACATCAATGAATAATATTCAAACATGGAAAAGAAATATAAACCAAAAAATTCTTTCAATTTCACAATCAGTTATCGTACTCTGATATCACACTACAAAAAAAATAGTATATTTGTAACGGAATTCCGTTCCTAAAGTTCACGTAGCTAACATAATTCAATTTCTAATTCCGTCTCTAATATTATTACTAACGAAAAAAGTGAATTTAGGAACGAAAAAATCTCGTTACAAAATTGATAATTTTTTGTAGTGTCACTTTTGTGAATTTATAACCCGGATCGATGAGTTTAATCAAATATACCTCGTATATAAAAATACGATAATGAATTAGCGAAAACAATAATTGAATAACTTCCATCAATCTAAACCGAAATGAATTTAAAATTAACACATATTAATCAAAGGGATAAAACTAATACTGCAATTTAGACATATATATCCAACCAAATAGAACCTAAATTGGGAAAGGAATTGAAAAACGAAATGGACACTTCCTATTCGTGGAAATCGAACGCGAATGAAACATGTTGTGTTTCTATAATCTGTTAACAACAAAAAATTCCTCAACCAAAATATGTTCAATATAAGAAAAATGATAAACCTATACAATTAAATATTGAAACATAAAGTCACGCCGAATTGGGAATTAACAAAAAACTAATTAATCAAGACTGAACCAAACAAGGCAGAACACAAAAATAACTCGCTGTCTTGGCAGCAGCGGTGGCAGCGATCTC